AGGAAGATTGGAATTGTTTGGTTTTTTTTAAGCATGGGATCTATAGGATTTTGGGGTCTCTAGAGAAGAAGGAGAGAAGGGAGAGGTGATAGTTGTTCCATGGCAGCAACTTATTAGGGCAGCAGCCAGTGCCAGCCTCATTTGCAGTTCCCATCTGTATTAGACCATGAGAAATAATTTTCATCTAAATGGACTATCAGGAAGGTATATGTACACCTGTGTAACTGTGGGTGTTCATTCTCAGGCAATTTGTCTGAAAGGAACAAGCCAGCTGCATAGGCCCTATCCTGCCCTGGCTTCACTTCCAATTGTGTTTTCCTTAAATTCATTCTGTTAAAGAATGTATTTGCTGGATTTAATTTTATTTCTCATAAACACCTGTGGTCAATGCTGTCCTTACAGTACTAGGTGTCCCTTCATTTGTAGCTTGAGGACCCAAGGGTAGCCACGTAGGAGAGAGGAACCTTCTCTAGAGTAGGGCTAAGATCTCAAACTCCAGCCTACTGTTAAAGAGATATACTCTCTAACTAGGAGTGTAAGCACTGGACCGGTTCATAACTACCTTTCTAAGTGCTGAATTACTATGAATTTAGGCCCTTTAAAAAAAAATAAATCTACCTCACAGATTCAAGTCAGGGCTAAACTGATATAACTGGTTGGGATTTTGTTTCTGGGATATGAAGTACAGTTTTACCGATACCCTCAAGGAAAGCTTCTTAGATAGAACCACTAAAGTAGGTATTCCACTAAGCGATTTTTAAGGAATTGGCCAAAGTCAATAGCTTTCTAATTGGTTTTCATTCTTCCAGTTTCCCCTCTCCAATCCAGCCTCCACACAACTGCCCAAATGATCTTCCTAAAAAACAAATCTGACCATGTCATTCCCTTGCTCATGATCAGTAGTTACCATTTGTCTCTAGGCTTAAATTCAGTTTGACACATAAAGTCCTTTACAGTCTGGCTCCACCTGCTTTCACAGGCTTATTGCATATAACTTCCCTTTACAAACTCTCAGGACCAGACCATATGGTTCCTTTCTGTTCCCTGAACTCAGCATTCCATATTCTGCTTTTGTGCCTCGGCACTGCCTCGAATGCATCCCTGCTTCTCTTCTTGCTTTTAGAATCCTTAGCTTCCTTCTAGGTTTATCTCAACTTCCTCCTCCTACTAGAAGCCTTTCAGGATCACCCTAATTGTTACTGCATTTTCCCTACTCAAATTATGTTCTATATACCAATATATTAAAATGCTTGTTTCCTCTTCTTCCCCACAGGTTACAAAGTAAGATCATTGAGGGCAGGGACTATTTTTCCTTTTTGTCTTTTGTCACAAGTGTCCTTACATACAACAGGTGATTAATAAATGTTCATTAAATTACAGAATCATAGGATCTCAGACTTTGACAGTTGGAAGGGATCTCAGTGTTGGGGATGGGATCTGAACCCCTAAAAGAAAAGAGCATATCTTTGGGATCTGGACCCCAAAAAGGAAAAGCCTTGGACTTTCCCACTGGTCAAGTCTCTGGCGTTTGCCTGAGGCATGGACCCATCCCAGTAATCCTCTCAACTGGCCTTTCATTGTGGCCTATGCCCAATCTCCCAATTCTGTTACCTCTAACCTAGCCTAGCCCTTCATTGCCTGTTAGCTCTGGATCGCTGTCCCCCCCCCCAACTTCCCACCCTTGATTCCATCTAGACCCCTTCCAAGTTCACTTGGGGCATCATGCCCTTTCGGGTCCTTCTCTGTTACCTTCCAGTCACCCCAGCCTACTGGGCACTCCTAGATCCTTCCCACAGCCTTTCTGTATATAAGGTCTATCTTGTCCCCCATTAAATTGCTTAGATTCTTAAAATCTGGCCAATAGTGCAGACTCATTAGGAATCTGCTCACCCCAATTGGTGTTTTAATAAACCTTGTCTTTGGCTGAAAGAAGACTTCAGTTGAATTCTTTCAAGGCAGCACCTGTGTTGCTATTTTGGGGTCCCAGCACCCCTAAACCTCACCATCAGCAGTCATCTATTCCAACTTGTATTTAAAAGGAATTTCCACCCCAATATAGTCAGTCAGTTAGTCAATAAATATTTATAAAGCACCTACTATGTGCCAGGAACTGTGCTAAGTGCTAAAGATACAAAAAGAGGCAAGAGTCCCTGTCCTCAAGGAACTTACAGTTTAATGGGGGAGACAACCAGCAAACAATACGTACGAACAAGCTATGTACTGGGTAAATAGGAAATAATTAAGAGAAGGAAAGGGGTTAAGAAAAACTTCCCGTAGAAGGTGTAATTTTAGTTGAGACAAAGGAAACCAGGGAAGTCCTATTGGCTGGTAGAGGAAGCAGAGCATTCTAGGCATGCAGTGTCTTATTCATGGAACAACTAGGAGGTCAGTGTCACTGCATCGAAGAACACAAATGTAGGAGGAAATAAGGTATAAGAAGACCCGAAAGGTAAGAGGGGGTTAGGTTATAAAGGGCTTTAAATGCTAATGAAAAGATTTTTTATTTGATCCTGGAGGCGATAGGGAGTCACTGGAGTTTACTGAGTAGGGAGGTGACACGATTGGATCTGTACTTTAAAAAAATCATCTTAGAGGCTGAATGGAAGACAGATTGGAATGGGGAGATACTTGAGGCAGTCAGACTCATCCAAATGCCATTGCAATAGTCCAGCTGTGATGTAATGAAGGTCTGCAGTAGAGTGGTGGTACTGTCAGAGAAGAGAGTTGATGAAACTGACAGGCCTTGGCAACAGATTGGATATGGAGGGTGGAGGGGAGAGATAGTACAGAATTGAGGATGACACTTAAGTTTTGGGGCCTAAGGGACTAGGAGGATGGTCTTATCCTCTATATTAATAGGGAAGGTAGGAGGTAGGGAGGCTGTAGGGTGAAAGATTATGAGTTCAATTTTGAACATGTTGAGTTTAAAATGTCTACTGGACATCTAGTTTGATATATCTGAAAGGCACTCAGAGATACAAAATTGGAGGCCAGCAGAGAGATTGGGACAGGATAGTAATATTTGAGAACTGTCAGCATAGAGATAAAAAGTAAATACATGGGAGTTGATGAGATCACAAGTGGTTATTCCGCTTTTTTTCAAGATCTTCAAATATACCACCTCTCAAAACACATACTCCCCACCCGCCATTCTACTTTGGTCAGATCTGGCTGTTAGGAAGTTCTTCCCAATGTCAAGACCAAATATACTTTGCAATTTTCAGTCTACTACTCCTGGTTCTGTCCTCTGGGGCCAAATAGAACAAGCCTAATCCCTCTCCCGCAATTCTTCAGATATTTGAAGATTGCTATCATACACCCTGCTAAGTCGTTCCTTCTCCAAACTACATATGCCCATTTCCTCCAACCTACCCTAATATTGGATCAAATGCTTAAATTTTAGGAATTTGAGAATTGGGACTCAAAAGAAGCAAGAGAAGGCTAAGGTGAAGCCAAAAAAGATGGGTTTGGATTCCATTGTCTACTTTGCTACTATGAGCAAATTAGTTAACTTCTCTTGGGCCTCTAAGGGGTTTGTGTGAATCACAGAAAATCACTAGAGCTGAAGGATAATGCCAACTCCCTTATTTTAAAGAGGAGGAAATGAAGGTCAAGGGAGGCTAACTTGCCTAAAGTCACATAGATAATAGGTTTCCAAGATGAGATTTGAACCCAAATCAACAAGAATTTATTAAGTGTATACTATGTGCCAGACACTGTGCTAAGTGCTAAGAATATGAAGATAGGTAAAAATAGTTTCTGCCCTCAGATGGCTCATAATCTAATGGGAGAAGACAGTATTCAAACAACTATGCACAAAAAAAAGAAGATATAAGTGTAGGCAAATCGGAGATAATCTCAGAGGGAAGGCACTAATATATTCAGTAGGAAGGAAAGGTTTCCTGTAAAGGTGAGATTTTAGCAGAGATTTGAAGGAAGCCAAGGAAACTAGGAGGCAGAGGTGACAGAGAGCATTTCAGGCATGGGACACAGCAAGTGAAAATACCCAATCAGGAGATGAAGTATCTTATTGGCCAGAGTCATGGTTAGAGTATGTACAGAAAACTAAGGTGTAAGAAGGCTGGAAAAGTAGAAAGGCGTGAGGTTATAAAGGGTTCTAAAAGCCAAACAGCAGACTTTTAAAATTATGATCCTGGAAGTGACTACAGCGTATTGAATAGGTGAATGACAAAGTCATTTCCCTCTAGGAAGATCTCTTTAACAGCTGAGTGGAGGCTGTTATGGATAGACTGGTATGGAGAGAGAGGAGGCAACTAGCAGCTGTTGTAACAGTCCCAGGTGTGAGGTGATGAAGGCCTGCACAAGGGTGCTTTAATAGATGCTAGCGAGTTACAAAGGTAAAAGCTAAAGTCGTTGGCATCATATTGGATACAGGAGTGAGTAACAGTGAAGAGTCGAGGATGACCCATGGTAGCAGGGAAGTTAGGAGGAGTGGAGGGTTTTGAGAGCGTGGGGTGAAGATAATTGAGCTCGGTTTAGGACTCGTTCCATTCCAAGGGATCTCTAAGGTGCCACGAGTCTGGACCTAGAATCGAATCCCAGGTCTACCACTTACATGCTATCTTGGGCAGGTCACCTGGACCTCAGTTTTCCTCATATGTAAAGTGAGGAAATTGTACTAAGACCTCTAACACACCTTCCAGATCTAAATGTGTGATCCTACATAAACTTTAAAAGGGCCCTCTCAACTGCCTCTGAATGAAGGGATCTCCCGTGCAGCCGCTATGTGACTGAAACAGCGACTGTTCCCGTTTGTGTACTTTACAATTTGCAAGCCGCCTAACCCACGTTGTCAAAGAGAAATCGGGACAACCGTAACAAAACACCTACGTCAACCAGCGTGTAGGGACAAGAGAACAAACTTAAGCCTCTGAGGCCAACCCCTTGTGTCCAGAAAACGACAACCCCCACAGTGCCTTGCGCGGGAGCGAGGACGAAGGGGTGTGGGCGGACACTTCCGCTTCACGCAGCGCCACGTCCCCGACGTGTCACCGGCGGCGCCGCTGCTGTGGTGGAGGAAGGAGTGAAGGGGCCAGTTCGAGGTAGCGGCGGCGGGTGGCGGCGGCGCCGGCGATATCAGCCCGGCCGCGACCTGCCCCTGCTCCCGCACGGAAGTGCCCCTGGGTCTGTGGGGAGCAGGAGGAGGAGGAAGCGGCGGAGGCCCAGCTCCCGCGGGGCAAGATGCTGAACATGTGGAAGGTCCGGGAGCTGGTGGACAAAGCGTGAGTCGGGGCAGAGCCGGGGGGCAGTTTGTTGTCGGGGGCCCGCGGAGGGAGGGGGCGGGCCGGATCCGCGCGCCGGGGCCTCCCCACGTCACACTGGCCAAGCCCCCAACCCCCCCACTTCTTCCAGCTGATCCTGTCCCATCATGGCGGCGACAGGTCTCCTCGCCTCCGGGCCCTCTCTCCGTGGGGGCGGGAGGGATCCAAAGGTGCAGCTTGGCCTCCCTGTCCTCCTGGAGCGGCTCCGTCCCTCCCTCGGACCCGCGGCCCGGCTCATCTCCGGGGCAGTGAGCGTCTTCTGGCGACCCCCTGGCCTAAGGAAGGAGCTCCTGGATTCGGGGCGCGGGGAACGGAGTTGGGCAGCAGGCCGAGGACTTGTCCGGGGGGGAGAGGTCGTGCATGCGGGACCCCGGGCCCCAGCGACCCGCGGAGGGGACCTGAGGCCTGGAAGGGGCCGTTTTCCGAATTGCCTGGTTTTCCTTTCCCCCAAAAAACTTTAACTTCGTCTTTTGAAGCGAGCCTGGTGATCCTAGTGGTGGGTTTAACAGGTGGGTCGCACGAGTAGTGGTCTAAAGTGGCTCAGAGGACAGGGGGGTGACAGTCTGTCCAGTGAAGCTGACTCCAGTGCTTGCTTTTTTAACTGTCGTGACCCCTTTGAGAAGGTGCGTTGCCAGAACTTCGCTGTTGGCGTGCCACTTCCTCCTCGTTGAATGGAATCGCTGAGAAATGTCCCCTAAAGTGGATGTACACCCAAAACAACAGAAAGTACTTTGTTGTTAGTGGCCACTGAACCTTTTAAAGGATAGAACTTAATGTTAACTAGTTTTAAACTAATGTAATCTGTAACTATTAAAACAGTTTACAATTTTTACTCATTCTTTCTAAAGTGAGACTTTAGATTGATAGTGGACCAGGAAAACCTTGGTAGTTAAGAGCATGCTAGATAAAATGGAGGGTTAAGTAACTTTTTTTTTTTTGCCTAGGCCAACAGGAAATAAAGTTAGAAAATTTAGACAGCCTCCTTCCTTTTGAACGTTTAGTGATTATGCAAGTAAAAGTGGTTAAAAATTGGCCAGCTACCCTAAAACAAGGAAATGTAGTATAGAAGGTTAATGATGCAGGCATTTTTCAAAAATCATTAAACAGTAATATTCTTGGTGGTGTCTATGACACTGACTTGATTTCTTCAACCCTTTGGTTCAAGGCCCATGTTTCATATTTTGTGTAGTGCTTGCGTTAGGGCTTTGCGCTGTATACATTTAGTGAGTTACGTTAGAGCAACTCATTTCTTTGAAATAATAAAACTTAAAATTTTGATTTAGGTTAATGATATCTGTCCACCCTTTGCTTTTGTTTTTACTAAGCCAAGTTAATAAGCAAACATTGATCTTACTTCATTTCCTAGTTTTCATTTAACTGGGTATAATGTACTATGCTACAAATAGATCCAGACAAAATTGAATATGAAAGACTTTTTTAAAAGTTTTTTTAAAATTTGATGGCTTTGTGTTGAAAGGTTGAAAGGGGAAGGGAATGTATAGAAGACAAGAAAAGTAAAATTGGAAATCTAAATTTAGAGGATCGAAGTATTTGATATGTGACTCAAGTTTTTCAAGTAGAATTTTGTCAATAATATTTTATTGTTTATCTCATATTGAGGTCAGGAGACCTGGATCCCCCTTCTCCCTTACAGTCTGTGTGACCTTGGGGACGTCATACCCTCTCTGAGTCTTTAGTTTACTCTTCTGTGATCCTATGATTACTGTTCATTTTTTATATACCTAATATTTTAATTCTGTAATTGCTTCACCTTAATGTTACTATACAGTTTTCCTAATTATGTGAAGAGCCTATTCTTGAGAAATGATTTCATCTTCATTTTACTGTACACTTTAGCTTAGAAATGTTAACTCATCATAACAGTAGTTGTATTGTGAGTAGTTTTCTTTTCAGAAAATTTCGAAAGGAAAAATATCCTAAAGAAACTTATAATGGTGACCCAAGCACATAGTCTGTGTATGATTTAAGAACTCAGAACTCATTGCCCTGAGTGTCCTCTCCAATAATGTAAATTGAAACTGGCCCATGCTTGCCAGTCTTGTGCATGGTCCCCTGATAAGTGTTCCCAGATCTACCTAATGAGCTAGAGGTTTTCATGTCTTAAGAATGTCAGTGGGGTAGATCTTGTACATTAGTTATCCTTTGTTTTCAATACATTACCAACATTTTTCACTCAACATTTCTTTGATTTGTCTCCACTTCTTTATAATTCCCTGTTTATAATTTGTTGCAGTCTACTCACAACTGTCTTTATGCCTTGTCATTGCTCTCCAGATGAAACTTTCTCATTTCTTTAGAGATTAATAGTGCCATGTCTCACATCCATATGATAAACCTACAAGAATATCAGTATTAAAAAGATGGGCTTTTCTCGGGGGGGGGGGCACAAAATTTGGAACTCAGAATTTGAAAGAAAAAAGGCTGTTAAAATTGTTTTTACATGTAATTGGGACAAATAAAATATTAAATAAGAAAAACAAGATGGGCTTTTTGCATTAGGCTTTTGTTTTTTGTGGGCAGGGCATTAAAACAACTTCTCACTTTCCCAGACAGTCCACCCCTCTAAACCCAATTCCTGTGTGTCTGTTTGGAATGTTGGATAGATACATACATACATATATACACATAGTGTGTATATATACATACACACATAGATAGGTTTTTACTTATCAAGACCATAGAGTTAAAATTGATATTTGGATATTTTTGGTATAACATACCGCTCGTAATTTATTTCTCATCTCCCATTTGCAGTAATAAAAGAAACTCATTTGCTAGAAATTCTAATATTACCTTACCCTTGTACAAAAATCGTGGTATGGCCATTCCTAGAATAATCCTGTGTGCAATTCCAGTTACTAATACATTTTAAAAATGATAGTAGTGTAACTGATGAAGACTCAGAGGAGGAAAACTCTACTGGTCATAGATGTACATCCATCTGAGGAGAAAATAAAGTGTTTAGGAATACTCAATGCTTATGACTGAAGTCTACAAAATCGTGAATAGTATCAATAGGTTAAACACCAAATCTTAGATGACAGCACTCTTTGCAAAGGTATTGTCAGAAAAACAAAGTACCGTTGTGCACAGTAGGTCAGTTTGTGGAATTTATTATTCTCATGAGTTGATATTGGATGAAAACTGAGTCAAAAAAAGTTTAGACAGATTTATAGGTGATGGAGTTACTTAGAGAAAGTAGAATATTTGGAATTTATCCCTAACCATTGAAGTTCATTCACCTCAAGAAAGAAGTAACACATTTTTCTAAAATATGAACCTTAAGGCTTTTGTCAGAAACAAAGTAAACACTAAGCTATACATACTGGGCATCTGACAGAGTAGAGCCGTTCTTATACACTCTGCATAAACTAATATGTAATACGTAAACTAATTTGTATTTATATGTGTGGTTTTGAGAGCTTAGAGGGATTTTTTTTTATTGGCATGAGAACTAGGAACGCAAAACTTGGAAATACCAGGGAGTAGGAACACAGCTGTCTCTCACTTCAGCTCTTTTTGATTAAAGAAAAATAAATGATGACAGAAGAAATGTGACTCCATCACTGTCTCCAGAGCTTTTAAAGCAAACTATACCATTCTCCTTTTCTCAAAGGTCATTTGGGTAAAGCTACTTCAGTATTGATCACCTGTCTTCATTTGTTTGAGGAACAAGTTAACCTCTGTATCTTACCAACTGGAGTAATTGGCATATAAGATGTGGGACTGTTGAGTTTGTTCCTCAAGTTTAGGAAGGGTGGTGAGGTAGGTACACCTCCTTGTTTATGCCATGTAGGGCTAATGTTGCATAGCATGATTCTAAGTGAGTTCCCCTCTTTCATTCTGGTGTGAAATACTGATAATTTGTGCATTGATTCTTATTTATTAAAAACAACTGAAGAACAAGATTATTTTGTATAATTACAATTATCATTTGTATTTGGCTAGTTATTTCAGCCAGATTTATAAAATTAATCAGTATTTGTCAAATGAATGTATTGTGTAAAGATTTATTCTTCAGATTGTTGTCTAGGTCCTGGGGCAACTTGTTAAATAGCTGTGTTGAACTTTTCTGTAAATTTTAGTTTTGATTACTCTTCCCACTCACCAGAGAGAGAGAGAGAGAGAGAGCCTCTGCTTGTTTTATTTCTTAAATGTTTAGATAACTTCCTATCAACCAGTGGAGAGAAAAAGAGAATGGTTTATCATCATTAATTGCAAGTCCACAATATGCTTTCAATATCAAAGCTTCATTCTCTAACCTCAGAAAACAACTTTGTTCAGAGAGAGTGATCCAAAGCAAATTTATTATTTTTTAGTTTTCGCTTTTCTTTTCAGCCATCTATGCTCCCCCCCCCAATAATCTTCATTCCAGCAACAACTCTCTCATCCTTGCACAGGTTAAAACATAAAAAAAAGTTAAGAAATCAATTATGCAGTGTTCCCCAATTTCTCCTTGGCTCAACTTTCAAAGCCCAGCCCAAATACTGTCTCCTCTGTGAAGCATTCCCTTAGTTCCTCACCTTTGCTCCCACTAGTAGTGATTTTTCCCAACTCATATTATACTTGGTATCTCTTCTGTGCTTGTAGTGTTCTATTTCATATCAGTTTGAATTTTTTTGTGCATATATTATTGCCTCTACTAGATTTTCTAGATTTTAAGTTCCTCTAGAACGGGGACTATCTTACTTATGTTTGTATTTTCCACAGACCAACACATTACCTTCTGAGCATTTAAATTTTGTTGAATGAATATTCATTTAGAGTGATTTACCTCTCCTTCCTCTGCTAATTCCTTACACCAGACCTAAGTACCTGTTATTGTATGGTAAATGAAGCAATCCTAGTACCTGGGACATGAGTAGATATTAAGATCTTAACTAGGAAATAAAGTTTTAAATTTACTTACTTTTGCCAGCTTCTTTGAGAGGTCATTTATT